CCCCTCCCTCCCCTTCCTTATTGACAACTAAATTGTTTCGGGTTCAAGTTGTGAGAATAAAAAAAAAGTTTAATACTAAATATTTTTTATTCAACATGAATTCAAATTAATCGGGTCTCAAAAAATACGAAAAAATAAAAAATATTTAATTGCGACTGCCTTGGGCAAAGGGAAACGTCGGTGATAGGTTAGCTTCTTGACACCTCCCCACATCTCTCTTTTTAATTTAATAAAAGGAAGGTGGATACTAAATAAATTAAAGAATATATTATACAAAAATAATTTATTTTTAACCAATCCCACAAGGACCATTAAATAATTAAGTTTTCTCCTCCACCTAACACATGTTAATAATTAAATAATATCCCCAACTACCAATCATATTTTATCGTATATTTCTTTTTTATTTTTTATTTTTAAAATAAATATTTTATCTTAAAAAGTGCAATAATATAAAATCAAAAAAATAAAAGACAAACTATTTTTTTTTTTGCTGTAAAAAGTAAAATTCTTTGTCCATGTTATAAGAAAAGTAGATGATTAAAAGATAATATCAATTATTCCTCCATTAAAAGATAATACTAGACCAATTTTAAAAAATATGTACATAAAATACATAATTTAACGGAAAGATCATGAATTCACGTGTCCCATGTATTTGCTTATAAACCCGCCCCTGACCCTAGTCAGGGGTGGAGGGCTAAAGAACATGATCCAAAGCTTATGCTGACCTATTAATATAAAAATATATATAAAAAAATAATAATAAAAAAAAACTATCATTATCATTTAATTAAAGAAGTCGCTTTACACAAGACACCACTTGGCTGGGTTGACGCCATGATTGAAGGAGACTATGTAATTATTATTGGATAGTGTGATTTAGTGGTTAATAAAGTAAAATAAAAATTATAAACAATTAGCGTTTAAATTTTCGCGGTAACAAAATATATCAAGTGATTTCTTTAATTCGTTTAAGTTTTGATGGATAGAATATTAGGTTCTTATTAAAAATTATTAGGTAAGAAAGAAGAAATAGAGAAAATGATATTGTATAGCCGCTATCAAAATAATTGCTGAAAAATTATATATTTTATATATATATATATATATATATACACAAACATTCTGCATATTATATAAAAAAATTATATAAATTTTATATACTTTTATTGCTACCGAATAAAAAAAAATTCTCGCAGAGCTAAAAGTGATAATACCTCGAAGAAATATCAGCACGGTATGACTTGATATTCCTTTCTTTGGACTATTAGTTAGATGGATATTTTCAATTCTCCGCGTTGCATTGGCTGATTATTAATATCCTATATAAGTTTTTCTTCTTTTTATTTGAACGATATTTAATTGTTAGAAAATTTGAAAAATGAAAAAAGGTTCTGGAATATTTCATTTAACTCTTGCCAAATAAAATATGTATATTTTTTGTGTCTTACAAAAATACTTAAATTGACTTTGTGTTCTGATATTCAATCTAATCAAGTATAGCAAACTTTTTATATTGTTATATTTTAGTATAATATTGAGAAAAAACCCATATTGAAAGTGCAACTAAAGGGATGTTTGACTTAAAAAAAAATATTCATAATATTTTTATTTTTTTGTATTGTTTCTGTCATTAATTTATACCTTTACGCGTATGTGTGTACATGCACACATGAATCGTGATTAATTAGAATATTAAAGGAATTCAATAAAGGGAACCATACTTAATAAAAAGTAAAAAAATAACGTCGGGTTCTGAATTTTAGAACGACGATTTGTACTGAATGATGGCTTCTAAATTTAATATGTACACATATTTAATAAATTTCTTAACACAAATATATTATTTGAGTAAAAGCTATTGGCTTCGGGCGAACTCGTAGCTTGGCTTTTACCTCCACTCCTGCTAATAAACTTGAAAGTGCTTATATGTCAAAAGTATCGTGAATGGACGAACCCCTCTAACTATCCTTAACCAGAAGACTTAAGATTCGACATCTATACGTGACGTGAATCTGAATTATTATAAAAACAATAATTTTTATATTGAAAAAGTCAAGTATGAATAGTAAACCTCACAACAATATTTAGACATTTCTACATTGCCGACTGCACATTAAAGAGATACTTTGAAAAGTCAAATCTCTCATAGTACTTGGAAAAAGACCTTCCATTGCGATATTGTTCATATTAATTAATTCTGATGATATTTTTAAGAGTTTAAGTTTTAAGAGCTGATAATATAAAAAAATATTTATATAATTTATTCTCTCCGGTTTAAAATAAGTGATTTTTTTTATTTATTTTTGTGATCCAAAATAAGCAATTTTGTCAGATTTTAAGAATGAATTAATTATTATTTTTCTTATATTGCCCTTGGTGTAATTAATATTGGAGTATGTGTTAGAAGTGTTTATGTGAAAAGATAATAAAGGTTAATATGGTCAATTTCATTACTAATTAATGTTAAAAGGTGAATTTCTTAATATGTGTGAAAACAACAAAAAAATCACTTATTTTTTAATTAGTTAGAAATCATAATCATTTAGAAGCCGGAGAGTATTGTATTATTAACTCATTTTTTTAGTTATTTGGGGCATAGGCGAATTCATAATTTTGAATTTATGCGTTTGAGATTCTAAAATAAGACAGCTTGATGAATTTTGAATAAATTATTTATACATACTTAGAGGATTTTACAATATTACAAATCTTGGGCAAAATTATTAGATTTTATAGAACTTACCATTAGAACTTCAGCTCTACCGCTAGGTGAAAGAAACCAGGGGCGGAGCCACAATGTCAGATGCGGGTTCGGTCGAACCCCTTAGTTTTTTTTATGTTTTGTATTTATCTTAAAAATTTATTGAATATATATAGATATATAATTTAGAAATCAGTAATTTAAAATGATTGAAATGCCGAACTCGTAAGCTTCAAATACTGACTCCGCCTATGAAAGAAAGTGTATGAAAACTACTTTCGTGATCTTAATTTGTTCCATTAGAATGTTCTAATTTGTTATAAAAATATCTAAAATTTTATTTTTGAGTCAATTCGAAATGTGAAAGGGGAGAAAAAGAGAAGGAAATGGAGTGCGCCACCAATGAAAACACCCTGTACGAGAGAGGGGGCTTTTGATGGCTCTTTCCTTTTTTGTTTTTTTTTGTTTGGACATTATATTTCAGTAATTTCAACTATATTCTTAGATGTGAATTTTTTCTTTAATTTATAGAAATCTTTTAAAAAATTTATTTTGGAGTTGCGTGACTTTCATTTTCTTGTATTTTACTTTAGCTGCATTTCAAGTTAGAGGGACAATTGAAATTGTTATACCTTTACCTTTATCCCGATGTTTCGAGTTCGAACTCTAACAATGAGAACACCTTAGAAAAGAGCATTTTCATAGTAAAAATTTACGTCCACTCAGTTATTACTCTTAGTGG